AATATGTTTAAAGTATGTACAGTTATCATCAGAACAACTACATGCGTAGTATAGCGTAGTCAGTTAGGTTTAGGCTTAGAGAGCGTAGGGTCCCGTGTTCGAGTCCGAGCGTCGGACGGATTTTAGATTGATTTAATTTCGATACATAGGGTAACAAGGAAGGTAAAAGTGTTAAGTATATCAAATGTTAGTCTGAACACTCACATTGGAACATTTCCAAGAAAAAAAAAATTTTTTTTTTTTTCAATTTGGCTAATTTATTTTGATGAAATTAATTAGTAAAATGTTATATGACAACTTGTACTACTGCCAAAAAATTTTTCACCTTGACCACTTTGAATTTATTTTATCAGATAAAACCATTTTTTTATTTAAAAAATGCAGGGAAGATTTAAAAAAACAAAAATGCCATATTCATTTTAAATTATTAATAATAAAATTATTAACGAATATTGTGAGGGTTTTGAAGTTCAAACGTGAATTCTGAAGTTTTATTTTTACCCTCAAAGTTGTAAAACCGTCCGTAAGTAGGATTTTGAGGTTCAAATCGTGACTACTTTCCATATTGAAATCTATCTTGAAATTCCAAATTAACCCTCAAAATCCTTACTAAGGATTTTGAGGCTCAAATTGAAATTTATGTTTTGACTCGGGTTATGAGAATTTAGTATGTTTTGATAAACGTGTGAACCGTGAGATTTTGTGTATTTTTTTATTAGATGCAGACACCGGCCCCCGAATTCGCTGAGGAGGAGGAGATTCGGCTCCTGGAAGAAATGTTTCGGTGTGCGCCGCAAGTCGTCGTCACCCCCCTGACCCCGAGCAAGACACCGGGAAGGGCCCAGACACCGAGCCTCAGCGCCGAAAACGACGCATCCGAATACCGATCCAAACGGCTTGACATCCGGATGACAGACGTGCAGGATGTACCAACAAAGATTCATATCTTACCATCAGACGAGCCATATGATCCGGCCAACCTCGGATTCGTTAGACCTGACCGACGCCCCAGCACGGGGACCGGCGTGACCAAACCACACCCAAAAAGGGTCAGCCATATACTCTTCAAACCAAAGAAGAAGTCGCGAGTGTTGATCAGACCAGCCACCGCAGGCCTGCTACAACTGATCAAAGGACCGGGCAATCCGGTAATCGCCCTGCCCGCAGTAATCGATGAGAAAATGGAAACAGATGACACCAACCCGGGCCCACACGAATGCAGTCCCCAGTTGGTTGCATATCCGAAAGCGACGGCACCTGTCATCAGCAAACCAGTTGTTGCCAAAGCAGCAGCCGACGAATCTACGACGCCGCTCGTTGTCGAACCAACAAAGCCCATCATCGACGAACCTGATAGATCAACCATCATCAGGCATGGGAAGAAGATGGGAAAAGCTACCAAACCGGTTACAACTCCGAAAGTGAGAAAACCTGTGAGCAGCAAACCTGACGTCAAGAAACCTGCGGCTGCCAGACCCACAAATCCTACATCATCGGACCTGAGAAAATGAAAACAGATGACACCAACCCGGGCCCACGAGCAAATCGCAGTCCCCAGTTGGCAGCACCTACACAGCATTCCAGTGCAGCAGCGTGGCTCAGCTATCACAACGCGCCACTGTTATCTGAGTACCCGGATCAGTTTGAGGCCCGACCCGGAGACCTGTTTGCACCACCGACGAAAATTCAAACGCCGTTAGAGCACCTGCTGGCGTCTCTAACTCCTCTGAGCGAGGTGAAAGATAAACGAGTCAAAAAACGCCGGACGTTCACGGCATACGACGAGGCGCTGCGTCTATTCAAAGTGACGCGTACGAAGAACTTCCTGACGCCCCGGATCAAACCGATGGGGAAGACGGCCCACGAGCTGTTGAAGACCCTGAATAAAAGAGGTGTGACAAGCTCATCTCTTTTCTTTCTAAGGAAAGGGGGGTGTGACATAGCGATCGACGAGTGCGAGCGAGACAACGAGTCATCGGTAGGCAGACAGCAAGCCCGAGTGCGAGCGAGATGTCACAATTTGAATTGGCTACGAGATCATATACACAAATATCCCTATTTTTAACTTCTTTATACAATCGTTTACTTGATTCAGGCATTTTTCTAGGTGCGTGGGAGATAGTCTATATAATACCTTTAAATAAAGTTACACCACCAAAGTCTCCATCTGACACGTGTCCGATCACAAATTTGGCTTACTTAAATAAAGTATTTGGAAGAATTGTTGCAAATCAAGTAGTTGACTATTTGGAGGAAAATAATTTACTAGACAAAAATCCATCTGGATTTAGAAAATTTCATATCACTTAATCAGCTCTTCTTAGACTCACGGAGGATATTAGATATGCTATAGATAGAGGAGAATTAACTTTGATGGTATTGTTTAATCTTAGCAAAGCTTTTGATTATGTTGACCCTAAAGTAATATTAATTGCTTTATTTGAACTAGGTTATTCCATCAATACCGTAACCTGTTTCTTCTCTTATCTGTCAAAACGATCACAATCAATCCTTAACAATCTCAATTAACCTCTTAAGTTCTTAGAGATATCTTTGGGTGTACCACAAGGTTCAGTGTTAGGGCCCATTTTATTTCTAGTAGTCATAAATCTGATAGTCAGGCATATTACTTACTCCAAATATGATTTATTTGCTGATGGCAAATATATTTATCGCCACTTCAAACAAATGTCTCTTCATGAAGCTATTAGATTAGTCACACTAGATGCTCAGGCGATTGCAGATTGGGCTAGAGATCATGGCCTACAAATGAACTTAGATAAAAACAAAGCAATGATAATAGGTACAAATAGCAAAATTAAAATCACTACATATTGACTTCCTTCCATCTATTATTGTAAATAATGTCGCATTACCATATGTAAATCAAACAAAACGTCTTGGCTTATTACTAATTAAGGATCTTTCGTGGAACAGTTATGTCTCGCAAGTTATAAAAAGAGTAAATTCTGCCCTTTACACTCAAAATTCGAAAAAACATTTATTCTATCGACATCGGAAAACTCTTAGTCACTGCTATTATTCTTCCACTTATCGATTACTGCTCGATAGTACTGATTGATTCTACAGCTGATAACAATTTAAAATTGCAACGTTCATTAAACAATACGATACGATTAATCTATAATCTAAGACGTGATGAACATATAACCCCTTACAGACGTGAATTAAGTTGGTTACCTATAAAATCTAGACGTCGATATTATTTAGCTACTTATTTTTGTAAATTATTACAAATAGGAAAGCCTATAGTTATCTTAGAGAACTATTTATTGAAGATGAAGCTAGACCCTCTGAATGACTGGCAATCAAAATGAACAATGTAAATTTTGAATTACCGAAGTATTCTACTCTCTCTCTAGAAAACTCTTTTGTGGTCACTACAATACTATTATGGCAAAATTATTATTATTATTGCTTGCCACAGGATTTTCCTGTTGCTGCAATATGAAAATCATGTTACTACAACGCAATTTTTTCATGCTGCTACCACAGGATTTTGAATACACGATTGGTCAATGTCGATGTAAATTTACTATAGAACATATCATAACATATTGATCACTTATCATTTGATTAAAAATGATTTTTTCAATGAAATTCTTATATAATTCAAAACATTATTAAATGGTTTATTATATTTATTTGTTCCACAGATGGTACGAGTTTGAAAAAAAATCCTGGTGACTCGACAATGCCATTGCTACTGACCACGTATAATCAAAATGATAATGACTCTGGTTACTTGAGTCCCCAAAGTTATATTTATCACAGATCGCCAAAACTCCACGTCAATGTTCCACTGATCGACGAAGCACAAGGATTGTAATCGTCTATGAGAAGATCTTATTGAGAATTGAAACAATTTTAGCTTGCTTTATCGATAATTCTTGTTTAATTTTTCTATTTTATTTTAATCGTAGTAAACTGCGCCCAAAGAAAAAAAATGCCGTTCGGCCTCACCCAAAATGGAAGGTAGATTTCATTTGATATAAAATTCCCTTTATTTTCGCTATTATAATTTGTTAGAAACCAAATTTTTTAATTAATTACAATAAAAAAGTTCTGCAAAAGATTTTTTTTGGTGTATCCACTATTTGGATAATTGCCTTGAAATAGTTCGAAGATGAGCAACATCTGTCTAAAAATACTATTCAATATTTAATTTAAGTTATAATATCGAAGGTAAAAAAGAAAAGAAAAAGATAGATAGAATAGATACATAGATTTTTAGAAAATTAGCTATCTTTTTTCAATCAAAAGTTATTCATCAATGAAGCCACAAAAAACGTGATTTTCACTATTTCGAAAATTTTAAATGGCCGCTATTTTTAAACTGATTGATCGATTTTGCTCATATTGAACTCGTTCAAAGTAATTACCTAAATAATACGTGTACTAAGTTTCATTAAGATCAATTGAAAACTTTTGCAGATATCCTAATGACAAAATCGGTTATGTTACATATATATATATATATATATATATATATATATATATATATATATATAT